TGTCAAAAAATATAACACATAGATACTTATATAGCAAGCAAAACCTTTGCGCTAAAATGTCCCCACGGACTTTCAAGCTAAAGTGCAGCAGCTTACTTACTTATTGTTTGCCGCCTGAAGGTATGCAAAATAAAAGCAACATATTTGAAGCGCTGCTGAAATAATGTTGCAGGCGCAACAGCTTAATGTTAACGTAACAGAGCTGTGTTTGATAAAGACTACAGTGACAGCAGGTAGTTACAATACAGTACTTCAGTTAGAAAGGGTTTAGAACCGAGAACAAAAAATTTTAGGTTTTTGAAACTCATTTCGGAAACAGATTTTTATTAAAAAGTAAGTTGGTTTATGAAGTACGAAGACGCTTTTTTCCAATGAGACCCAGAACTGAGTTTTTTGCGAACATTTGTAATTGTAACATTTTTTTTTTTCACTTCAAAGAGCGTGAGCATAGCAACGATTGCTGTTAATAGAAATATACATATTCTCTTTGATAAAAGCTTACAAATATTTCTACTTATGTGAGATGTGTGTAAAAAAATTGTTGCAGGTAACATTTTACAACATTTTTTTTTTTTAATTCTATAGCAAATAACCAAATAAAATATATATTTTGAAACCACTCTTGGCATGCCTCTTGCCTTACCATCATAGGTACTCACAGCTGTATACGTATGGGTGCATACATGTTTTGACTGTCTATTTGACACCAGCTATGCGCTAACGAAATCTGTCAAGCGTTTTAAATTTCGAGTGCGTTTGCTCTTTATTTTTTGGACTCATTTCATTTTGGTCTTTTTTTTTCTAACGCGATGCTAACTCGTTACTCGCTGCTTTCTTTACATATAAACATATGTATACACAAACATATTTTTATTTTTAATTATTTTTCAGTTTTTTGTGATTTTTCTTTTGCTGTTTTGCCACTTGTTTTTGTCACAGTGCAAAAGCAAAGCAAAAGTGCTCACCGTTAAGGATTATTTGCAACAGTTTTGTCGAAAATAAAGTAAGACCAAAGAAATTCGCTGGAAAGCGCAATGAAAGTTGTTTTTTTTTCACTTGCAAATATTTTTTTTTTGTTTATAAATTTTTTTTCTATTGAAAATATATCAAAGATCATCTTTGCTCTACCCACGTTGTGGCATGCTTGCTATTTTATCAGTCTTACATTCGTACATGTAGATACTTCAAAAGTATATAGGTAAGAGGAGTTTTCGCATTTTACTGTGGGCTTGAAAGCAAGCCATTTGAGCTTTTATGGCTTGTATGAGTATAGTATTGCTCTGTTTCTCTATACTACACTGATTTCATTTCTCTTTCAATAAATAGATTTCACGTAATATTATATCTACTTATCGGAAGTTTGTAGAAAAAAGTAAACAAAAACTTGTGTTATTTGTCTAAGTTGGGTATTTATTCGCATTTAAATAAGTTAGGGAAAGTCTACTTCAATTATGCGCTGTGCTCAGTTAACATTTCTGTCAAGATACCAGTCTGAAATATATGCCATTCCTAGCTTATTTTTGAGATCATGAGAGATTTTAATTATTGTCTTTCTAAACTAAACCACCAAATACTTATTTTTACCATTGTAAAACTAGAGTCGTTCATTGCTTAACAAATCAAACAATATCGTTATGATCAGGTATGCTGCTGGAAAGCGGCTGCATATTCATACATACATATGTATACTTGTTTCCATTCCACAAAAGAATTCCGGGAAATGAAATAGCAGATGAGATTGCCAAATATGTCATCCATCTGGCTACCGAACTAGTACAGAGAGAACTATTAAATTCTCGAAAGGGCTGACAGACAGTTATGGACGAAATGGAAAGAATTAAGGAAATGGCGGAATGCCAAGCTCATGTGCAATAGCTCCGAAGAAAAGCTTACTTGGCTTCTTACATGGATGGTTGTTGATCTGAAGACAAATTACAAGTACTGCCGGACGGTTATTGGCCTAATGGCTGTTCCCAACTTACTGGCATCGCAAGCGAGCCGGATAGGCATTACTAACATCGATGCATGCTGAAAGTAGCGCGTAAGCAATTAGAGAGACGCTGGAACACCTCATATGTTTCCGTAGAGTATTATCTAGAACTCGTCTTAGATATATAATATATGAGCTTCGCAGTTGAAGAGACTAAACGATGTATTAACATTCGATACCTCTCTACACAAATCGAACTTAATTTCAATATGACACTACTAATGATCTGTAAGACTGTGTACAAGCAGCCGGCCAGTATTACCTGCCCTAACTAGCTGATCTCAAATAAAATACTGAGTTCAATTTGTACACACCGTAATTTTTTAAAAGGGAACTTACTAATTTGCAATTTATGTATTTATAAGACTGCAAAGTGGCAAATCGAACTCACAATCAAGTCTAAATTTAAGAAAAAGTGCAAAAAAGTGAACTTTAATGAGTTGGCCACACGCTCTCGTATTTGAAGTTAAGCTGGATTATTTAGTTGTTCCATTCATATATATATACATACATATATATATATTTGTTTAGAGAGAGAGAGAGAGTGTACAAATCTTAAATTTTTGTGGAGAGAGAGAGAGAGAGCATAATCCTTAAAATTTTTTTTTCAATAATCTAATTTTATTTTAGTGGTGCCAGTAGAAGCTTTAAGCTGAATAATCAATATTTTAGGGAGAAACCAAATTTTTATTCAATGAACAATAACAAAAAATTGTCGGAATATTTCTTCATGCCTTGAGTTGACATGACTGAGTACCGATAAAGTTGGCCACACTCTCGAGGTTTTTCTGACCAAAGAACGTCGCCTTATTAGTTCTCTCCAATCAAAACGATAATAATAAACGTTACGTAAGAAAGGCAGTTTATCTATATATATTATGAAGGTATGACCTATCTAGATACATATAAATGTTAGTTTTACTAATATGATATACCCAAAAATAAAATTTTCCTCCAATTTCATATTGTTTATGTAGTAAATATATAAAATATATTGCTATGAATAATAATTCACTTCGAGTAATAATACTTTTGAGCTTTGCCCACAAAAAAAAATGCTATAAAAATCATAACTTTGAACTTTGCTCTTAAAAGTATGCTACAAATTTATTATATTTATTATAATCTCATACATTATAAATATTTAATTAATTGCTGCTATTTTTATATAAAATAAACGATTTTTTACAAAAAAAAAAAAAAAATGAAACATTTTGACGTGCTTTACTTTTATTAAATTTATAAAAATACTCGTTAAATTTGCTAGTTTTGCGCGAAAACATGAAAATTGAATGCATGCAAAAGAAATATTAATTTCGTAGAATTTCAAATAACGGTAAAAACGAATAGCTTACTAGAAAATTTGATTAAATGGTGCGCATAGAACGCAATAAACTATTTTGCTATAAATAAATGCATAGGCGATGGACGCAAGCGAAGGGCGGGAGCGGGGCGGGAAGTTGGCTGAACAGCTGGGCGGCTAAGGGACCGAGTCAATGCATGTAAGTGTGTGTGTGTGTGTAACTTTGCCTAAACTGGTAAACTAATAAAATGCACAACGGGATAGGCGAGAACATAGCGGAGAAATTAAAATTAAAATCAAAAGTAACAAAAATATATAACAACAACAACAACCATGTAGAGTGCAAACGCATGTGTATCTGTATAGACTATACAGCATAACGGTAAAAAATTGAGCACACGGCAACACGCGACATTTATGAAATCAAAATCAAAATCAGCAACGGAATGGTAAAAGGTTCTAACGCTACAGAAACAACAAGGGCAAGCTAACGAAAAAAAATCGAAAAATTACCAACGAGTTATTAAATAAATAAAACGGTGGAATTGGCGACAGAAAATAGCGCGACTAAGGTTAGGCTGTGTGGCAGGTGTTGGGCTTAAAGTATATGTTAGGGTGTGTGGGCATATAAATGGCGGCCAAATGGGAAATAACTGATATATGTGTACTTGTGTTTGTGTTTAGATTTTTATTTTTTATTTTTAAGCGTGTGTTATTTATTTAGCAATTTTTGATACGGCAAACATGCAACATGGCAAACATAAAATGTCAACCGAAAATTTATATGGCAAGGCGAGGATTTTTTTCGCATACAAATTTGACGGAAATGCAAAGGGAAATTTGAAAAATGGAAATTTCGTGCAGATTTTTATAATTTAATTTTTTTCTCTACCAATGTTGCAAAAAATTTTTATAATTTTTTTGGTTGCTTTGAGGGGGCGCTTTTTATGGCGTGCATTTACCAATTTTTTGCAAACCAATTTTGTCGCAGAAACTAGTAAAATTTGGCACTAAAATTGTTAGTTTGTTTGTTTTATTTTATTTTAATCGAATTTTTTATTTGAATTTATTTTTTGTCGTGGATGTGGGGAGGCTATAAATCAAAAATGTGCGCTTTGTTTATTTAAGCTTAAAATGTTTGCAATTGAAGCTCTTACGCTATTATTTTATGTGTTTTTCTTCAACAAAATTTATCAACGACAGCAACTGTTAAACAAAACATCGCCATTGAAATCAAAAAAAAAAWAAAAAAAAAAAAAAAAAAAAAAAAAAAAAAAAAAAAAAAAAAAAAAAAAAAAAAAAAAAAAAAAAGTAGAAAACGTAATCATAAAAGTATCCTAGTGATTATATTGTATAGAAAAAATTAAACGTGATGTACGTAGATATGTAGTAGGTAAACAAATTCATAGACAAAGAACACGACGAAGAGCAAAAAACATATTTAATAAATATATTTGCATATATAATATATTTATATATAAATATATATCGAATATATGGTGGTATTTTATGTAGTAGTAGTAAGTAGTAAGTAATGTAACGGTATCATTTGAATTTGAAAATCGAAATCGAACAGGAGTGAAAACGTCAACAAAAGAAAAACTAAACACTTTTATCACTTATTATTTTATCTATTTTTTGTTTTTGTTTTTTTCATATGCAAATTTAATAGAAAGGACAAGCCTTTAAGTTCACATTTGCACTTACCGACTCATGGGTGGTCAGGCGATAGTCCAAATCGCCGCCCAAGCCACCGCCCGCCGACGCCGAACGCGGCTGATGCATGTGACGGCTGTTGCTGTTGTCATCCTCGCTGCAATCGATCTCCTTCTTCAGTGACTGCGGCATGCAAAGAAAAGTAGGGGAATAAATACGACATCAGACAAACAAATTTCCACACAAAACTCACCAGCGGCACGGACTGCACTGGTCCCAGACCGGAGGTGCCCGCCAACGTTTCATTGCCCGCTGCGGCAGCTGCTGCCGCCGACGAGCTAGGACTCATGCCCGCCGAGGTGGAGGCCAAGCCGCAAACGCCACTGCTGCCGGGTCGCTCAATGCTCGCTACATCGCGTGGACTGCGCGAGGTCGCACGCTGCTGCTGGTGTGTGAGATCCGAGGCGAGTATGAGACCGCCGCACGATGTTGAGCTGGTTGCAGCAGCGGGTGTTGAGCGCGCCGACTCTGGATCTCCGCCACCGCCGCCACTGCCACCACCCAGCGGTGAGGGTAAAGCCAGCGCAGCCGCTGTGTGGCTAATGGCTGCACCGATTTTCATATTCAAACCCATAGCATCGTTTGAGCTATTGTCCTCCACATCATCATCTAGATCCATTTCTTCGTCGTAACTGTCGGGTTCCTCGATTTTCTCCACCACATCCAGTACACTGCAGGAGCCGGGTCGTGCCGGCGGCGAATCGAGCGCGGTAATGCCGTGATGCGGCTCGTCGTCATCGTCTTCATCGTCCGAGTCATCGCGTCGCCGCGACGGTTTGTTGTCCGCATTACCGTTATTGTGATGCGCCGTCTGCGTGTTCATCCCACTGGCAATGCCACCACCACCGCCGCTGCTCGTCGTATTCTTATTGCTGCTACTATTGTTGTTATTTTTGCTAATGGCATGCGTCGTCGCATCGCATTCTTCGCTCGTGGCACGCACACCACCACCACCATCCTGGCCAAGTGTTGCGGCTTCGGCGGCACTGCGCCCCTGGTAGAGATCAAGCGGCAGCGGTGAGGAGTCGCGTTCCGGTGACATTTGTTGACGCTTTGTGGGTGGCGCTGATGACGACGGACTACCGCCGCCACCGCCGCGTTCACCGCTAGCGTCACGTTTTTGCGCTGTAGACGCCGTGGTGGCGGAACCGGCGCTGCTGCCGGCGCTTGTGCTAGACGTGGACGTCGTTGATGTGGAGGCAGACGCTGTGGCAGCTTGCTGTTGTTGTTGTTGCTGAGTGACTGCGACAACGGCTGCGGCAGCTGCAGCCACAACGGCAGCCGCTGTTGTGCTGACTGGCGTCGTAGTAGCTGGCGCTGTTGTTGCGTTCGCGGTGACGTTTGTTGAGGCTGTGCCGGTTGCGGCGGTTGGCGATGAAGCGGCTGATGTGGCTAAGTTTGCGGCTGAGGTGGCTGCTAACGATGTATTGGACCCGCTCGATAGCGCTGTATCGACGGGACTGTCACAAGTGCTTTTAATAGGTTGCGAATGCGGTCTCAGGCGATCCGGTTCACGTTCTGGCTCTCTGAGAGTTGTATTCTGATTGGTCATCTCTGCTAAGCCCTTAACCTAAGTGTTATGAGTGTGAAGTAAACAGAGAGAGGGAGAGAGAGAGAGAAGTTAATATAAGTGAAAAAAGGACTTTATCTCGGTCTTTTTTAAAAAGAAAGTAAACTCGTTTTTTATACATTTTAAGATTTGACTTACTTTCAACGACTCGGCCGTTTTGAGCAAAGCCGACAACTGACAATATTGCACGTTAACTTCGCCCTTGTACATGAATTCGACTAATGTTTTCAGTTCGGCTAAGCGCACGTCCTTCAATATCACAATTGGGTGTTTTTCGGGGTGGTCCAGAAAAAGGCTCTGGAAATACGAAGAACAGGCCGAGAGGACCACCTGCAAAGAGAAAATAAAAAAGAGGAACCATTAGTTGATATACCTATGTTTAATGATTAAAAGCCAATATGGAGTTGAAAATAATTTTTCTGCCTTTCTTCTACTATAAAATAATAAATTTAGTAACTAAAAAAAGTTTGAGCGCCACTGAGATCCGATTTATATTATAATTAGTTTTTTCGGTATTTTTTTACATAAGTTTTCAAAAGTATTTACACACTACATTTTGAAGGCAGAAAGCTGACAAGCACTGACATTTCTACACCTTAGTTCTCACGTCCATGATATAAGTGGTCTGTCAAATGTCAAACTGTTAAATTTTTGACCTCTAAATGCCAGTATGTGTCATGTATATATATTATATATTATATATTATATATTATATAAAATATAATATATATTATAATTATATCTACAGTTGATATTATTTTTATTTAACTTAATATAGAAAAGCCAATTGGCTTACTTGAAATAACAACTTTTACTGACATTTTTATGTCAAACATTGTCATTTTGTTAAATAACACTTTAATATATAACCGTATGCTACGGAAAAAGCTTATCTTCTGAGATTTTTCCACCTTGACATATAATACGTTAAATCGAAATAGAAAAGTTGGGTTCATGTCATGTGTGGTTTCCACTATGACATATTTAATGACAAAATAGAAAAAATAAAATATGTCATATTCATAAATTAATAGAAACGGAATATGTGCAAAAGAGATCACTGCCAACTCAAGGAAACCTATAATTATTCGATAGATAGGTAATCGCTTATTTCTTTTACCCCATCTAAGTGATAGTAATATAATGCTGATCCCAGGATCTCAGCTAAATACTTGCTCCACGGTGTAAAGGCTATACATCTTCTGCCGCTTTAGGCACTTGCGAAAGTGTTCTTGCCCAAAATGGGTCTTTTACAGAGTGTTATTACTGAACTCTATAAGTCACTCATTATTCCCGTCCTGCTTTATAGAGCAGAAGAATGGATGACAACCACTGACGTTAAGAGCTTTCAAGAGAAATGTTCTGCGGAAGATGCTTTTGCGCATTGGCCACGGCGAATATCGCATTCGATAGAACGATGAGATGTACGACATGAGATGTACGAACAGCGGCAGTAGCCGCCTCCAAAAGGAAGGGAAAGAGCTCCACTTCGTTGGAAATACCAGATGGAGAAGGACCTGACTTCGCTTGGAATCTCTTGGAATCAAGCCAAGCAGCGAAAAGGAAGAACGATTGGTGCGCTGTTGGAAACTTGGCTATAACGACATTAGCATTATCTACATCAATAAGAAAAGTAGAAGAAAGTTTTAGAAGCTTAACAGCTTGTGGTCATCACACAAAAAAGTATATATGTACCTTTATTGAACTATTTTATATATAAACCTGGAAAAATTAGTTTTAACCGCTAAATAAATTCTCAACATTCACTTAATTGAATTTGTTACTTAAATACAAAATATCACGCCACATTGATAGCTCATCACACTGGTGCCAAACAGAAGATTGCTGATAGAAACAAAAATAAAATTGAGCAAGCAATAAGAATTAAGGAAAAATATTTTGCGAACAAGCGCACCACCATGCAATCACATAAATAACGCAAACACAAATGCGATTGGCCCACTTTCGGTCCGTCCAGCTTGCAGTGGCAGGGTCCACCCAACCGGCTGCGACGCTGCGGGACGCACTTTTGGAGTAATTGAAATTTCCCTAATGTGTGCGCAGTGGTCGCACACGACTAACAGTCGAGGCCAAATATATGGCGGCAAGTAAATATAAGTGGACACCCACACACACACACACGTGTACGGCGATGCATTAGTAAATATGTGCATATAAATTTCATAAAGCGCATAACAATTTGGACAATTGTTATTGTTGTTATTGTTATTGCCATAGCCATTGCGTTCAAATATTACCCTCAACAGCGCTGTTGCTGTTTTTAAATTTATATAGTTTTTGTTGTTATTTTTGTGCTCAATTTTTTTTCAATTTCCCGCCGCATGCAACAATTTCCATTATTTACAACCTCAACAAATCGTTAGCGCCTGCGCAAAATGCCCAAACAACAACAACAACTACGGCAAAGTGTATGTTGCACCAACGCAATATATGGACGTTGAAGTGAAAAAGCACCGCGGAAAGGAGCAACGCAACGCCAGCATACGCACTGCCACAAGAGTTACGGCGCGCGGCAGTTAGTTAGCGCTGCGCGTGCGAGTGTGTGTGCCGTCGCTAGAGTTGCATTCATTTTTTGGCCCGCAAGTGTGCACGAAATATGCATCGCATATCATTGCCTACCCCAAGGCGTTGAAACTGTTTGTTGTGCTGGCGCAGCTGGTTACTGTCCAAGCGCGCCTTTGTGCTTTCGTTTGCGATTGTGTGACTGTGACGCGCTTTTAATTTGCGTGAAGGCTTTGCGCATGCGCACATAAAAATCAACGCAATGCATAGAAGTAGCATGTGGCAAATACAAAAAAAAAAAGAAAAAAAAAGTGCATGCAAAGATTCTGGACTGCGTGAAAATCCCCAAATGACCAAAAGCGATTTATTTCTAAAATAAAAGCAAAAATACTGTGCAAGCATAGAAAACAGCTAGAGCACTGTTCTTGTCATGCATTAATAATTATTTAGAAAATACTTTTCTTTTTTTTTTCGTTTTTGCTCAAAAGCAAAGCAAACTCGTTCTCCGCAAACTTGCTAGCATTGTTCGTTTGTGCGCATGCGCGGCATGCTGTTAACGCCTTCACCACTGCCTCCACGGCCACAGGCGGCAACAACTTTTCCAAGTCCGCTGCTATACATTGCACGTGTTGCACTATAACTGTCCACAAGTTGTTGGCAACGCGCTTACTACACAGCGAATTTATGTTTTTCAGTGTTGTTGCTGCTTTTTTTCAAACTTCGTTTTTTCTTCATTTTTATTTTGCCATTAAATTTCGCATATCATAAAATATCATCGAATATTTTAGTGGTAACACTCCTTAGTTTTCACCAACGCGCTGCAATGGTGTGTGGGGGAAATAAATTTGGTGGAAAAAGAAGTGTCGACGCCCGAGGAAATTAATTCTCTGTGTTGCCGCCAAGGTGGGCCGCTTTCTGCAGCAAAGGCGCAAATAAGTGTTCTTATATATATTTCAACATGAATATTAGGCTCTTAAGCGCAGCGACTAGCAACAATAACAACAGCAAATACTTTTATTTTGGGTGTTATTTGGCAGTTATTGCTATTTATGCGTCTAATAAGCAGTTGTAGGCTCATATTTAAGAAAAATTAGTAAAATAAAAATGTAAAGTATTTACTAATAAAAGTTAAAATAATAATAAGTTAATTGAAACATTGAATTGCAATATTTCTGTATATACCAACTTAATTTCATATATGTATGCTTATTCAAGCCTTTTTGAAGAGTTTGAGTGCGGAAAAGTATTTGAAGCCTTTTAGTGTTTTCCGTGCAGCTAAGTTTTTTTTTTTTAAGTAGGAAAAATCATCAAAAGCTGGAGTTGGGAACTTCGATCCGCTTAACCTAACCTATTTCCAACTCCAGAATCTCCCACGGAACCACATGATTAATATCGCACCAAATAAAGTGCCTGCCTAAAATGAGTGCCTGCATTAAATCGCTTAATTCAAGTTATAAATATCTCGTTTATTCAGTATTTATTTAATTAAGTGAAAATTTTTGTTAAGAAATTCAACATAAACTATTTATTTAAGACATGTATAAAAATATATAAAAATTCAGTAAAAATGTGTCCTAATGTCTGGATACCGAAAACCGAATTTCGGGATTTTAGTAAATGTATACAGAGAGTGTCAATTTCAGAGTTAAACAAAAAAAACATATAAAACTTGAACGAAAACTTCGGGATAAATATCGGGATCCCGAAGTTAACATTTCGGGATTCGAGAAAATATTAACAGAAACTAGCAATTCAATATATACATTTATAAAAAACGCATACAAATTTATTAAAAATTGTGACTAATGTCGGGATACCGAAATCCGAATTTCGGAATTTTTGTAAATGTATACAGATAGTGTCAACTTCAGAAATGAATAGAAAAACTTATAAAGTCGGAGTGAAAAATTCGGGATCAATATCGGGATCCCGAAGTTAACATTTCGGGATTCGAGCAAATATTAAGAGAAACTAGCAATTCAAGATATACATATATAAAAAAAACGTATACAACTTTATTAAAAATTGTGACTAATGTCGGGATACCGAAATCCGAATTTCGGAATTTTTGTAAATGTATACAGACAGGGTCAACTTCCGCGATAAAAGAAAAATTGTAAAACCTGCTAATTAAGTATAGAAATCAACGTCGTTGTAAATGAACTAAGTAACCTCGAAGTTTTTATAATTTTAGTAATTCCTAAGTTTTTAGAAACTAAATTAACCATAATGTCGGCTTTTGTCTAACGAATTTTTTGCTATACTACATACATGTATCTATGTATGTTAGACACATTCGTTACTGTATCTAGATTTTTAGTTTTCTAGAAACAAATTCGACCATACTGCCAACTTTTCTTTAACGAACCCTTTGTTATATGGTATGCATACTCATGTAGTGGGTATATGTAGTTAGCCCTCATGTTAAGTTACTTAGTCTTGCATTTAAATTTTTTAGTCGCATTTTAAGCTAAAACTGGAATAAGGTTCAGTACTTTTAACAGCTCTGAAACTAAAATGTTCTGCTCGTTTGAATTTCTGAAGTGTTCTCAAACGTTTTCTCTAATCCTATTAAGACAATGGTTCAGAGAGAAAGTTTAGTTGGTCAAGATAAAGAACAGTCAATAAATATATGAGTACTTATCATTCATTTCTCATATTAAATTACAAAAAAATTCATGAATTATATCTAAAATTGTCAGGTTAAAGAAAAGAACTATTTAATATACTTACTCCCAAATTCCTTTTTTTTTGGGTTTACAGTCTAACTTTTCTACTTATTTGGGATTTACACTGAACGTGATTGG